ATACTCAGTACTCATAACTAAATATAAACATTCAAAAGGTTATTCGGACACCCTAACCGGACCTCAAAGCTACAAATTTCTGCGCATGGCGCTTAAGACCTTTTACCACTCTGCGAATGCTTGGCATGCTCAAACTACGTTACGAATGCGCATTTAAATGTATAACGGCGGGAAAGCTAAGCTAAAATTATCTAATTATCTATTTCAGTTAATGTTGCAGATTGGCGTTGTTCCTTAATCTTTCGTTGGATCCGGATTATATTTGTTGCAGACTGTTAGAATTTTTATAAAAGTAAGCTGAACTTTCGATAGTCAAATAGAATTTCCGATATATATTTTACTAATTAAAGGATATACAAAGCGAAAGTATCTTTCGGAGTCCATTAAAACAAAAAGTGGAATTGCTGCAAAAAATGGATAAAGGCATTTCCTTTGGTTATCTAAACTTTAATGTTTGTTTATCTAAACTTTGTTTATCTTTAACGCTGTGGGGGGCAATGATGGAAGTTGATCTGTCAGCACTATGCTTATCTTAAGGGCAGATTTTTTATTTTATTTGGCTTAAATTGCTTATCAGTGTAGTATTTCATCTCGATTACTCCATTTTGATATGATTTAAATCAAATGCCCGTCATTATAATTCGCTCCGATAGCGAAGAAAGTGACAAGGTTTTGAAACGAAAAATTCAATTACAAATTATAGTCTCTCACACCGCAAGCACATGACTTGAACACGCACTTTGTAACTGAACAAGAATTGCTGTTTTTAAACGAGAATGTATTATCACATAAAAAACGAGCAACTTAAACATCTTTCATTGAGAAATGTTTATAAAGTAACAAATAAATTAAGCTTTTTTTTTTTTTTTTTTTTTTTTTTTGTAATTTTTTGTACCCTTTAGATCATAATTGTTCTTTTTTTCGTACATTACGGTTTCATATTTTTAATTTATAATTTCTGCATGCCATTTACCAATTTAAAACTGATGTCTATATCCGAAAAAATCGATAATCCGGAATCGCCGAAGTCCCGACGAGTCCGGATTAACGACTTTTGACTGTATAGGGTAATGTAATTAACTAATCAAATGTTTAGAAGCCAAACCACACAAAAATCAGCATTATATTTTCAAATTTTCACAGGACTAGTTTCGATGGTTTTACCGAACCATCATCCTCAGATGCAAAGTGAAAATTTGAAAATATAACGCTGATTTTTGTTATTTGATTTCTAAATTAATATTTGTTCGGTGTGTTATTATATCTTACTTAATCAAATGTTTTTATTGCACTCAACTATTCAAGTATATAACTAGTATTTAAATGTATAAATGGTATTTCATAACATAATTATGTATCTATTATATTTTTATTAAATCAAGTATATAACTAGTACTTAAATGTATAACGGTATTCAAACATAATATGTACTATTATACAACGCATGTATGTACTCAATAGCAAGCCCCAATAAGAATAAGAAATATAATGTATGTCTTACTGTAATCAAGCTGTCAAGTACATAACTAATGTATTCATTAACTTTATCATGTATCCAATGTATTAATGTATTTTATTGATGGATCATATTTTATGCATTTAGGAACTATTATTATTAGTACCAGTATGACTATTATTAATATTAGCATTTTGATATTTTATTATTATTTTACATGTATTATTATTAGTATTTATTGATGTATCTAAGGATTATGGCAATGTGCACCCAAGAGCATCACCAATGCATTCTAACAGCTAATTTATTTTAACAGCTTATATTCATGCAGCTAATGTATTCATGTAACATCATCCAGGTCCCTGTTCGTTCATGCAACTTCACAGAAAAGCAAATGCATTCCCGAGGCAGGCCTCCCGGGATTCAGAAGCTGCCGGTTCAAGATAGTGGAGGGTTGTGGGACATATACAGTAAGACCCCGCTTAACACTGTTTCGGTTTAGCCAACCCGGGGATTCCACGAAATCGCTCGCAGCATACGGGGATTCCCCGAAATATTAAGCAGCGATAGGTTTCAAATACATATCCGAAGAGTGACTTGTATTTCTTGTTTGGTGCGTATTGTCAGAATATTTTTGAAGGGTAAATGTGGAAGTGTCGAAGAACTAATCAGAAGCAGCGGCGAGTCTTTCTAATGATGAGCTCAAGGAATTAACTGAACAAGAAAAACAAAAAGTTGACAGCAGTGATTCAGAAGAGAGAAAAGACTTTCGATGCGTTTGTAAAAAGGAGTTTGTCTACCTAACTGAAATAATGGATCAATTTCATTGAACTGATCCGATTTTGACAGAGCTCAAAGTAAGGCAGGTGTTAGAGATGCTCTATCCGTTTATGAAGAACTTTTAAAGAACACGCAAAGAAAAAGGCAAACACATTAGATGCTTTTGTCAAAAGCGAACACTGAAAACGCGGAGCTTCTAAATGAGACTTAGAATTTATTTGTTTTTTTAAAGAATATTCGTTTTGTTTTTATTTTGTTTTTTTTTTTGCAAGAATAATAATGTGGTATCATTTGGCTTTAGAAAAATGTTTTGGTTTTTTTTTTTATTAAAAAAACATAATTTTAATTTAATACTACCCAATTCCTACCTCTTCCCCTAACCCAATATTACATGTAAAGATAGCCTCGTTTAGCACTGTTTCGCATTACGCTCTACTTTGATGGAACGTATTCCCCGCTTTGATGGAACGTATTCCCCGCGTTAAGCGGGGTCTTACTGTACCTGCTTACCTTTGATAGACATCAGGTATCCCCGTCTTCTGTCACTTGCACTAACTGTGCAATTTCATCCCAATTTTAAGGAATGACAATCGTGAGGCGGTTCGAGGGTCTCCCACCTCTCTTACCCTACCACCAACCACTCAAGAGTCATTTTAGCTTGTGGTGTATTTTGAATGCTCCCTTGCCACACAGACATCATGCACTTACAAAAATCCACGCTCTCTTCGAGATTCAAACCTGCATTCATCCATATGGCAGTGAGCATCACCAACTACTATACCATCTGGATAGTGCAATGACTATATAGCAGTTTTCATCCTAATGATAGGTCCACTAATTGTAAAAGTCTGACATTAGTCTGCTTAGCTGTTTTTCACATTAATGGAGTACTGCCAGCATGGGTTTGCAGCACCACTGCAAAATCACAGTTGCATACATTTGGACTAAACTTGAATTATTAACAAAGCAACTTGCATTCTAACCATAAGGAATTTCATGGCTATAACCTGTTTTCACCACTGTACATAAATTTTATAGTCCATTAATGTACATGGGTTCATAATTCATAGAGAAAATTTGCTGAATATGATAGTGATATTTTGATAACTACACTTTTAAATACACTGATAGAAAAAAATTCCAACACCAAGAAAAAAAATTAATGTAGAGTAGCGAAATTTCAGCTATTCATTTGTTGAGGTAACATACTTAATTGATTAAATTTTCAAGATCACAGGTTAATGCAAGCACAAGAAGAGCTATTTCAAATGTCAAATGTTGGTACATTAAATAACCAGTGTAACCAACAGATGTGTTGTAGACAGTTAATGCTGGTTGTGGATGATGATGGAGTTGTTGTCCAATGATGCCCCATGCATGCTTGACTGGAGAAAGATCTGGTAATGTAGCAAGCCAAGGCAACATGCAGACACTCTGTAGAATATGATGAGCTGCAACAGTGAGGTGAGCGGTATTATGTTGGAAAACACCCCCTTTAATGCCATTCATGAATGGCAGCAGAACAGGCCGAATTACCAGCCTGATGTATAAATTTGCAGTTAGGGTGCATAAGATAACCACGAAAGTGTTCTACTGTCATATGAAGTTACTTTCCATACCATAATTCCAGGTGTAGGTCCAGCGCATCTAGGCCTCAGACAGGTTGGTAGCAGATGCTCACCTGGCCTCCTTCTAACCAACACGCAGCCATTAGTGGCAACAAGGCAGAACCCACTTTCATCAGAAAACAGATTTCCACTCTATCCTCTAATAAGCTCTAGCTTAACACCCCTGATATAGCAAATGGCAGTGGTTTGGAGTTGGCAGAATGCACACTACAGGGTGTCTGGCTCGGAACTGTCCTTCAAGTAACCAATTTGTATTAGTTCGTTGTGTCCTTGTGGTGCCAGTTGCAACTTAAATTTCTGCTGCAGACACAGTGTCATGAGCCACAGCAACACACCTAACACAGCAGTCTTCCCTCTCAGTAGTGCCATGTTTTGGCTGCTCAGAACCTCTTCTTGAGCCAATACTTTTCCTTGACCACTGCTGCTAACAATCACGCAGACTGTAAACATTCCTACCAAGTCTTTCTGAAATACTGTGGCAAGAAAATTCACCTTCTAGTAACCCTAATACATGGCCTCATTCAAAGAGCTGTTTGTAAGAGCTTCTTCGTCTTCTTAAAGACATTCTTGACTAATATCAACTATGTTAAATCGCAAAGATAAATAATTTTCATGAACTTAACAGTGCATATTTAAAGCAAACCTGGTTTGCATGTTCTTAGTGACACTACCAGCACCACACTTATGCACCTCACGCAAAATTTGAATTGATGCCACCTTTCAGATGTATAAACATGCCGACCAAATTTCGCTTATCTAGCAACATCCTTCTTGGTGTTGGTATTTTTTTTTCTTTTTTCTGCCATAGTAATTCTATATTTTTTTACCTTCTTACAAAAAGAGCATGTTAAGTTAATTACACAAAAATTAAAATTACCTAACTTGAGTTTCATCTTCAATTTAAGAAACATAAACTGAAAATTTAAATTTAAACATAAACTGAAATGAATATTTAATATTACAGCCCTAAAATGACCATAAAGACATATGCTCAACTGCATTAGGATTTTCATAATACACATTCAATTTTTGAAATTCATATGTATATTCATTTTAATAAAACTTAAGAAAATTAATTTACATTCAGTCTTGGACAAAAAAAAAAAAAAAAAAAAAAAAAAAGCATTTAACTTTACCTGGAATGAAGCTTGAGAAGCAGGGGAAATAAAATTTATGACAACAGAGTTCACCACCACGGTCATACCATCAATAACACGGTCAGAAAATCCATATTTGCCTCCAGACCTAAATATATATATTTCCAAAAATGTACTTTTTTTTTCCAAAATTTTTAACATTATTCATATAATAATTAAAAATGAAAATAATACAAATTCTGAAGCACTTTTCATGTTTATTGCTGGGCATGTAGTAAAAAATTGGACATTTTCATTTCCTATTAATGAAATTCCAACATTCAAGTATCTACATAATAGTTAATTTAAAATATATATCATTTGAATATTTTTTATTAGATATAATATCAGCAATGTTAATAGTTACTTGTAACTGGCTTCATTTGTCATGGGAGTTGGAGGTCTAAGATCTTCACAAGTTTCCATTTCAACAATAACTTCATCTAGTGACTTTTAAAAAAAAAAAAAAAGAAGAAGAAGAAGTTACAGAATAGCTTATCAAAAATAATCATCAGTTGCAACATGCAGTAAAAAATTTAACATGTCTGAAATTTTTCATTATGATATCACTTTATAAAGTTTTAAAAAGAATATAGGAACAAACGCTCATACTAGTAAATATGCATACAGTTAATTTCTGGCCAAAAATCCTGATCCGGATTATCTCTTCATTCTTTAGATTTGTCTCCTTTGATAACTTTCTCATGCCAAACTAAAACTACTTTTCAAATTAAAGTTTTTCTGAAGCTAAAAAAATCTGATTTCAGGAACACATTTTGGTAAAAATGTATTTAAGGCGAAAAATTGGCGATTTTTTGGTGATTGGCCAGCAAGGCAAATTTCAAGATGGCCACTACACAAAACCAAAATAACAAGTCAAAGAATTGCACAAACTCGGTGTTCACGTACACATCGATCTATTTTTAACTTAAAAAAACATCAGCGAATTGTACAAACTTGGCATTGCGCACTGCCTTGACTTTGTCCATGTACACATCAATATATTTTCACTTAAAAATCAAAGGAGCACTCAATTCTACACTACAACCAAACAAAAAAATATATAATCTCAATAAATTGCATTCTAAATCAATGAAATAACATTAAAAAAAAGGAAATGCATCTTATCATATCTACACACTACACAAAGGGAATATCCACTTACATTATTTAGAAATTTCTCGTGTCTTCAGTCTGTGGCATAAAAAATTCCTTACCAGCATCCAAAAACTTTCTTCAAACCATGTTCCCTTTCTAATGGAATGCTTTATATGTGAGCATTTGAACTTTTCTTGCGAGAAACACATTCAAAGCCATCTGAATAATTTTTAAGTTCCACCAGACACATTTCCTTCTTACAAGTAGGACACTTATAATTTCATTGAATTACACCCAACAAAGTTTCATTTCTTCTGACCTCAACCACTTAAAAAAAAAAAAAAAAAAAAAAAAACCCTTCTGCTCTTTCGTTCTATACCACCAAACACCCACTTTACCACCAGCAGCCATTTTAAAATGCAAAGCCCACAATATGCAATATATTTTCTAACTGACATTCAACAAACATTTTCTCCTCAGTCAAATTCACCACAATCATGCAACCAATCATGTCATAACATTCAACTACTCAGGTTACCATCAATGAAACAACAACTTGGCGATAAATGAAACAACTTGACAATAATCCAAGGGGAATCCTAAAATACAGGCTAACTCACATTTTTATTCATGTATCGTAAGACTGCTTGCTACATAATAAGAAAAATGCTGACCATCATGGAAATTGCTGTGACTAAAAATATAAATCAATGCTACATTTGCAATCTTAAAGGGATAAAAACTGGCAGAAACTTTCTTGATGTTTCAATAACTCTACAGAGCTTATTAGATTCATTGTACAATGCTTTTATTTGTTATCATATCTAGAATCAAAATGATTTATCCCCTACATGAAATAGAAATACCATAAAATATGAGAAACCTTAATTTTTACTACTGATACACAGACTGAATAAACCTAGCAGAAACTTTCCTGATGTTTCAATAGTTTCATCGAGGTTAAAAGATCTACTTTATAAAGCATTTACTTGAATGTAGTCTAGCTAAAAAGTTTTAGGACCAAGCTCATAAAAAAACAATAAAAGCAGTAAAAAAGTTCTTTTTTCCTATTATTCTATATATAACCCTTGAGAAGTTACACATGAGTTGGCATGATCTGCAAGCCATTCCATAGTCTGCTGAAAGTCCTTTTAGCTCCCTCATAATATTTTGTTGAATCGTCTTGATTACATTGAATCGATTGGTCTTTCAGCTTTAATTTCAGTTTTGGAAACAAAACAAAAAAAAAATCTAGTGCTGATAAGTCTATTGAATAGGGAATGGTGTACAATGCATTATTGTGCAGCAAGAATTTTTTTTTTTTTTTCCCGTGAAAGTCTGGATACACGTGTGGGATGCATTTTAATAGCTGATCTAAGTCTCATGTGAAACACTGCATTCACTGTATTCCCTTCAGGAAACAATTCCTGGTGAATCGATCCTCTGCAGCCAAAAAAAAAAAAAAAAAAAAAAAAAAATAGCTAGCATTATCTTCACCTTGGATTTTTGGAAACCTTCTTTGGAGAGTTCTGCCAACCCTTGGCCTTTTTGTTTCTAGATAGTAAGTTAAGCACCACAATTCATCACAGATGATTTTTTTTCTAAAATCTGGATTGCGATTTTGCATGTCAAGAAGATCCTGACAAATAGCCACTCACTCAATCATCCTTTTGTTCTGTTGTTCATGAACATGGAATAAAACATGCACACAATTTCCTTTTTCCTAAATCCTTACCAATAACAGTATGGACAGTTTATCAACATTTAAATGTTTGCAATTCTAACATTCTAATCATTAACCTGTTCGTAACGGCATGCTGCTGAACTTAAAAACTCTTTGCAGATGGATGTGTCATACATACAGCAATACCAAATGTCGCTAGCAGCCGGGTGATGCACTGTGCATCACACACTACATTGCACTGGTGGAACACACCGTCTCAAAGTTGAGTTGCACTAAGTGGCATGTCCTCTTATAAGAGAATTAGCTGCTGATGCATATATGATACACCCATCCTGAAGGAGTTATTCAACAATCCTGATTTAACGTCACATGGACAGCTTCGATGTTAAGGCCAATTGTGCAAGGATATTTCATTCTTTCATCATCTCTACAATCTCAAAATCTACCAAACCACAAAAACATACCAGAATGCAACAAACACAATTTACAGTAAGCGTTCTGTACCATTTGATAAGTTTTGCTAACAGTTTTGTCACTTTTAAATCTGTTAAATATTTTGCATAATCGCCTGTAGTAACGGCAACCGCCGTCAATTAAAGGAGGTGCTTTCCTTGGTAGCGGAGCAGTTCATTTTCAGTTCGAGCCAGAGTAAACCTGCCCGAGAGTGTTATGTCGTTTTTGAAAATTACCAAAAAGGTACCCTACTAATTGACCACAACAATAAAAATACTCATTTCTACCATAACATACTATTATCAATAACTTGTTTTAATTGCGTTGTGTTTCTTCCGGATTAACCCTTAAATCAATTTGAGTAAAAGACTGGTAAAAATCATGAGCAAACAAAATAAATTTAACCATTGATTGATCTAGAAAACTTATTTATTTACTCTTAATGCAAATTATATATATATATATATCCATTAGTTGGAAAAAATCAAAATATATTCAACAAAAGTTTTACTATTGCTTTACACATTCAACTATTTCTGAGAAATTATTTCTTAACATCCTTGTAATTTCTATTATATTTACTATTTCAATCTGGTAAAACAATACCAAAAATAAACTATAAATTTATGAACATATGAAAATATGGTTTAAAAAAATAACCGGATAATAAGATAGTAGTGACCACATTACACTTCTTCTACAAAAAAAGGTTCGTCATGAGAGGAGCAAAAATGCTCTAATACAGGCATTATTACAAATCAATCCTCACCAAGAAAGTAACTCAAACAAAAAAAATTCAATCAAATAATTTCCTGAAGAACTTAATTTTCTTAACTATTAAGTTAAGTTACAATAATTTTAATAAGGTAGTAAATCTTTCTTCAATCTAATGCTTTTACTTAATCGACACACAAAAGAAAAATATGATTTCAATAGAGTTAGGATAAATTTATCAACTACAAAAAAAAAATTAAGGCTCAACAAATTAAGTTAATTCAGTCCTTTTAAACCGCAAAAAAAAAAAAAAAAAAAAATCAAATAGTTAAGCAAACACAAAAAATAAATAAATAAAAATAAAAAACACTAAAATAAATTTAACATTTAGCTTTACATCCAGACAGATAGCTAGGACAACAACATCCCGAACACAATGGACGTCGTTTTCCGATGAAGCAGAAACAGCACACCTCTTTATTACGAATCAAGTTATCGTGCCATCTGCAGTTCACCAAGCAAGATGAATTGTCCATTGTCCATATTTGCAGGCAAAGCATCGGTGAAAGCAGGACACCATTACTTTGCCGAATTAGACTCGGAAGAAGGTTGAGATGAATTTCTATCAATAAGGCAAGGTAAAGGAATCAATAAGGCATTAAATGTGGATCCATGCAGATTCTTCACTACTGTTGACCGTTAACCATGGTAGGAAGCACTTGTTTACTTATTGAAAAAAAAAAAAAAAAAAAACATGAGTAGAACGAAAAATGTAGCTAATATCGATGTTGAAAAAAAATTTATTGAATTTGCAGATCATTTTTAAAGCTATTATCTATGCAGTCGGAATTCACTTTATAAAGATGCCGAACATTTTTCTCGGGCCGAGTGCCACGAGAAACGGCTACTGGAGCCAACATCATTAGGGTAAATTCGAGAAGCAATGGCCTAACAATGGCCCTTCAGAAATTTTCATCTCGAACATGGTTCCAGAAACAAAATCAGCTGTCGGCTAGCTCCTCTTCTCGGCAAGTGAAAACAGTCAAAAACGTGTCAAAAAGTGACCTCGTCCCACAAAACAACCCGTTAAAAGGGAGAGCGCCGGAACTCCAACTTGGCACAACTCCCTCCTCGCCAATAGTTAAACCAGTTGCAACTACAGCATTCCTTCATGTTAGCAAACTCGCCAAAGCCACCACTTTGAAACCTCAACGGAAATTCAAAATTCTAAATCGCCAAGCCGCCGCCAAATAACCACGCCTAAAGAAGGGGAGAAACTTGGAATTTCAACAACCCTGCAAACCATCCCAACGAGGGAACGCTGAAACTCGAAAAAAAGCGACTATTTTACCGGAAAAGGGCATTTCTTCCCCCACAAGAGAAATCACCATGAAAACGGAAAAAAATCTACTAATTAAAGCTCATAACTAAAATGCAATTAAAGTTAGGAAAACGAAAGTTATGTCAAATTAAAGAGCTAATTTTTCTGCAACTAA